CTTTGATGTCCACAACAATGTATCACTGCTACTTTCTGGGGTTTCCATACTGCCTCTAGCAACTGAAGTATCTCCTGCTGATACTTAAAGTCCTTTCCCCCAGAGTTTAAAAGTCCCTTCTCCTTGTATACTGCCCCACGCACTCGGAGAGTCAGAAAGGCATACTTGGAGTTGGTGTAAATATTTACACTCTTCTCTTGGCTTAGTTCTAAGGCTCAGGTCAAGGCAATTAACTCAGCCTTCTGAGCCGATGTTCCTTGTGGTAGGGGCTTAGCCTCTACAGTCTCTGTTAAGGTGACCACTGCATACCCAGCCCACTGCTCACCTTGTGCCATCACATAACTGCTTCCGTCAACATACAAGTCTCTGTCTGCGTCTGTCCAAAATGGTCGCGCGAGTCAGGTCTGCTAGAGTACACGTTATCTATAATTTCTACACAGTCATGCTCAGTCTCTCTTCCACTGGCTGGAAGGAGCATGGCTGGGTTCAGGGTGTTACATACTTCCACTGTTATGCGTGGATTGCCACACATCAAGCTTTGGTACTTGGTTAGTCTTGCGTTAGAAAGCCAGAAATGTCCTTTTGTGTTCATCAAAGTGACCACAGAGTGAGGTACTTTCACTCTGAGATCCTGACCTAGAGTCAACTTATCGGCTTCTTGCACAAGGAGAGCAGTAGCGGCTAGAGCCCGTAAGCAGGGTGGCCATCCTTTTGCCACTCCATCCAGCTGTTTAGAGAGGTAGGCTACAGGCCTCGGCTAGGACCCAACCAGCTGGGTTGACACACCCACAGCCACCTTATCTCTTTCTGAGACATACAGAGTGAAGGGCTTGGTCAGGTCTGGCAGTCCCAGTGCTGGTGCAGTCATTAGCCTCATTTTTAACTGGGAGAAGGCCTGTTCTTGCTCTCTTCCCCATTCTAAGGGCTTTCTTTCCTCTCCTTTAGTTGCCTCATACAAGGGCTTAGCCACGATGGCAAAGTTGGGGATCCAGAGATGACAGAAACCGACTGCACCTAGGAATTCCCGAACTTGCTTCTGGCTTATGGGGGTGGGGAGGTGACTAATGACTCGCGGCTTCTCCATGCCTAGATTCCTTTTCCCCTTCCTCTGGATAATAAATCCTAGATAACGTACTTGCCTCTGGCAAATCTGGGCTTTTCACTTAAAAACTCTGTAGCCACATACCTCTAGATGTTGCAATAGGCAGTCTGTGCCTTGAGCACAGCCCTCCAGAGTAGGGTATCCCAGGAGGAGGTCGTCAACGTACTGAAGCAACACGCACCCTAGTTCCTCGGCTGGGAACTTCTGGAGATCACGAGCCAGTGCTTTCCCGAAAATTGTGGGGGAGTTTTTGAACCCCTGTGGCAATCTGGTCTACGTGTACTGGATTGCCGCTCCTGTGTCCGGCCTCTCCCACTGGAAGGCAAACAGCCTCTGGCTCTTTGGAGCCAGTCTTATACTGAAAAAGGCATCCTTTAAGTCAAGGCAAGTAAACCATTTAGCTTCCGCTGGTAACAGACTCAGTAGAGTGTATGGATTTGGCACTGAGGGATGTAGTGTCACAGTTGCCTGATTAACAAGCCTCAAATCCTGCACCGGTCTATAGTTCTTTGTGCCGGGCTTCTGCACAGGGAGCAAGGGAGATTGGCAGCATATGATTATGCCAAACTGCTCAATTCTCTGGAGGTGCACCTGGATTCCTTCCAGGGCTTCCCTTGGCACTCGGTACTGCCCTTGCCTCACTGGCCTTGCTCCTGGATTTACCTCTACTATTACTGGTGGCTGGTTTACTGCAAGCCCTGGGGGGTTATCTTCCGCCCAGACCCGTGACCACCGCTGGGTCAGTTCGGGCCTCAGCCCTTCCCCTGGCTGAGTCATATACAGCCTCCACTCCTCCTCCCGAGGCATAGTTAGGGCTAATACCTGACCTCATTTGGGCAGTTGTAGCTGCCTGGTTCCTTGATCTGAGAAAGAGATTGTGGCTCTTAATTTTCCTAGGCGGTCCCTACCCAGGAGAGGCAAGGGGCAATCAGCCATGTAGAGAAACTGATGAGTTACCTTGTGGCCTCCTATGGAACACTTCTGAGGGAGACAAAAGGCCTGTTCAGCTGTGGCTCCAGTAGCTCTTATGATGTCAATTCTGCGGTCTGAGAGAGGGGCTATTGGCTGGGTGACCACTGAGTGTTCAGCTCCAGTATCAATTAGAAAATCAATGTCCTTGCTCCCAATCCTTACTCGGACCATGGACTCCCCGGGGCCGGCTGAGTCCAGTCCCCTTCAGTCTAGCAGGGCCTTTCCCACTAAGTTATAGAGGGCTCCCTGCTCTTCTGGTTCCGTGGCCTCTCTCCCAGGTTTCTCTACACTTCTTTGCCTCTGGGGACACTCCTTCTTCCAATGCCCTGTTTTTTGGCAAATTGCACACTGATCCCTTCTCAAGGTCTCCTTCTCCTCGCACTCCTTGACCCTGTCCTCTTTGAAAGGGAGGGGTTCCTTCCCCCTTGCCCTTAACAGCTACGGCTATGAGATTGGCCCTCCGCTTCATGCGCCTGTCCTCTCCCCTACGGCTTACTGCTTCCCAAATCACAAAGACCTTTTGTGCTATGTCCAGGAGTTGCGAGGTGTTCATACCTGCAAACTCCTCCTGCTTCTGCAGTTTTTGCCGTATATCCTCAGCGCTTTGGCTAACTAGGGCCATATTAACCATCCTCTGATACTCAGGGCTCTCAGGGTCAAAGGGAGTGTACATCCTAAACGCTTCACATAACCTTTCATAGAACTGGCCTGAACTCTTAGTCTTTCCTTGGAGGACCTCATTTACTTGAGCCAAATTGGTAATTTTCTGTGCCCCTTTCCTCAGCCCCTGCAGCAATGCCTCTCGATACCAGACTAGGTATGCCCTGTCCTGTCCTCTGCCACATTTGGGTCCCACTGAGGGTCCTCTCCAGGGAACTGAATCCGGACATACTCCTGAGGGTTTTGGAACCCATCGGGGCATTCTCCCCTAACCAATTAGAGGCAGCCTGAATTACACGGCGTCTCTCATCCGTGTTAAAGAGAGTAATGAGCAGCTGGTGGCAATCTGCCCAAGTAGGGTTATGAGTCTGGAAAATGGTCTCCATCAAATCAACCAGAGCCTGAGGCTTCTCCATGTAAGAAGGAGTGTGATGCTTCCAATTTAGTTAAGTCCGTGGTCGTAAACAGCTGATACACCATTATTCTCCGTTTGACCATGTGCCCGTCCTCATCTACTCCTGTGTCTAGTCTCCCTGAGGGGCATCTGGACCCCCGGTTTAGGCCTTAATCTAAGGGTGTTGCTAAGGGAGGCGGACCTTCTGGGACCTTTCCTTTCTTTGCTCGAAGGGTGCTTGGCTGGGCTGGCTGTGACTCAGTCTGCTTTTGAGGAAGAATTGGTTCCTCAGGTGCAGTAGCAACCCCAGTTTCTCTGTACGGGGGTGGTGAAACTTCATCTAGGGGGTCCTCCCACACAGGATCTGCCAGTATCTTCAGCACCACTGCTCTAAGTCGGGTGGAAAGCACTCTCCCTTCCTGTCCCTGTGCTAGTAGCACTGTCAACGACCTGCCCTCTCAACCAAGGTGGTGGGTTCACTACTAGCTGTAGCCAGGACTCTATGTATGGAAACTGCTCATAGTGAACCCTCCTTCCAATAACTCTGTGCCATACCTCAGACACTAGGGATCTCTCTAAACTTCCCTCTGATGGCCATCCGATTCCAAAGGAGGGCCATTCCTGCTCACAAAGACTCTTTAGCTTTCTTGGCGACAGTCACCCCATAGTCACCTACAAATCCCTTCTTAAAATTCTTCAACGTAGTAGCTAATGGAGTGGGCTTCCCTTGCTTGTTCCCCATTTCTACCCAAGGTCTCCCTCCCGAAATGCACATTCACACCATACTCTTACACACACCTTCCACCTGCCGTCAATTTAATGCCCAAGGGGTTGATCAGACTCCCTCTTCCACTAAAATGTAGTGGGCCTCAAAAGGACCCTACCTTACTCTGGACATCCCTGGTGCCATCTATTGCTGGTTCCTCTCTGGTGCTCAGCCTCCACTGTGACCCGCTGCAGGGACTTCACCAGCTCAGCCTCAATGAGACGGTCCCTCTGGAAGAATTTGTCCCAGGAGCACGCTGAGGACTGCGTTGTCAAACCAACTGGAGTTCCCCACAGGGGTGATCAGCGGGCGGGTAGAACCTAACCCAAAGAATCTGGCTGCGCGGTTTTGCCACCAACCCTCACTTCCCGGTCAGGGAACCAAGAAATGTAGCAGGAAACTGACGCAGACAGAAGACTCTAGGCTCCAGACCAACTGATTAGAGGAAGCAGGTTTATTCGGCCAGGGGTACTCGGACACCAGCGTGTTTCCCAAAACCAAGCCCCCCAACTCAATCTCTTGCCTCTCTCTTATCCACTTTTCGGAGCAAGAGTGCACGTGAGGGTCATAAAACAGAGAGAGACATGACCTCATCCTCAAGGTTCCGGGCTCAAGGGGAAGGCCAGATGCGCCTGCATCCTTGAGACCCGCTGGGCCGCCTGCCCTCAAAGGCAATGGAGGCCCAGAGAAGTTGCTAGATTACAATCTAGTCCCTGAGTATGTCAGGGGAGAAACATGCAGACAGCAGAAACACCGGCGGCTTGGCAGAGGCCTACACAGGGTGGCTAGGACAGATTCTTTTTAACTCTGCTTTTTACTTTTCTTGTCTAAGTATGACAGCTGGGATTACACAGAATTACACAGTCAGATGCTTGCTTGGGGGATATCCCCCAAATCAAACAGTAACTAAACGTTTCTGATATATTCTTCCCGAAATTCCCTGATGTGCAGTAAGACCTGAACTAAGTTTGGGTCCTTTCCACATTCCTTCCATTTGAAGTGTTTCTAACAAATACAAATTATCTAATGTTGATCAGACTTTGTACCATAAATAAAGATCTTCACATGTTTAAATGATTTTACATCAATATAAATTTATATTCAATAAGATTATACAGAAGTTTACAGGCTTTTTCATATTCCTTATATTCAAAATATGTATTTCTCACTAGTATGAATTTGCTGATATCAAGTAAATTATCCATTATATAGGAATGAATGGTTTTGAACATTCTTTACATTCATAGGGTTTCTCGAGAATAAGCATTCTTTTCATGTTAAGTTGTCCAACACACACACAAAGTGTTCTTTCACATCTTTCAATCATAAGCTTTCACCAGTATCTATTTTCTCATTTGAGTAAGTTGTCCATGTAAAAGCTTTCCCATATTTTTTATATTCATAGGGTTTATCATTACTATGAGTTCTTGCATGTTGAACAAAGTTTGAGGCATGAATCAAGGTCTTCTCAAATTCCTTATGTTGATAAAGTTTCTCATTAGTATGAAATCTCTGATGAACATTAAGTTGAAACCCACTAACAAAGGCCTTGCCACATTCTTTACATTCATAGGGTTTCTCACCAGTATGGACTCTCTCATGTTTAACAAGGCTTGAACCCCAACTAAAGGTCTTCTCACATTCCTTACATTTAAAAGGTTTCTCACCAATATGAATATTCTGATGTTGAGTAAGGTGATAGCCACGACTGAAGGCCTTTCCACAGTGTTTACACTCATAAGGTTTCTCACCCGTATGGATTCTTTCATGTTGAACAAGACTTGATCCACAATTAAAGGCCTTTCCACATTCCTTACATTCATAGGGTTTCTCACCAGTATGAAATAGCTGATGTCTAGTAAGTTGATACCCACTACAAAAGGTCTTCCCACATTCTTTACATTCATAGGATTTCTCACCAGTATGGACTTGCTCATGTTTAACAAGGCTTGAACCCCAACTGAAGGCCTTCCCACATTCCTTACATTCAAAAGGTTTCTCACCAGTATGAATCTTCTGATGTTGAGTAAGGTGATAGCCACGACTGAAGGCCTTTCCACAGTGTTTACACTCATAAGGTTTCTCACCCGTATGGATTCTTTCATGCTGAATAAGACTTGACCCACAATTAAAGACCTTTCCACATTCCTTACATTCATAGGGTTTCTCACCGGTATGAAATAACTGATGTCTAGTAAGTTGATAGCCCCAACAAAAAGCCTTTCCACATATTTTACATTGATAAGGTTTCTTACCAGTATGGATTTTCTGATGCTGGGTAAGTTGATAGCCACGACTGAAGGCCTTCCCACATTCTTTACATTTATAAGGTCTCTCACCTGTATGAATTATCTCATGTTTAGCAAGGCTTGAACCCCAAATAAAGGTCTTTCCACATTCCTTACATTCATAAGATTTCACACCAATATGAATTTTCTTATGTTGAGTAAGGTGATAGCCACGGCTAAAGGCCTTTCCACATTCGTTACATGCATAGGGTTTCTCCCCAGTATGGATTCTCTCATGTTTAACAAGGCTTGATCCCCAACTAAAGGTCTTCCCACATTCCTTACATTTATAAGGTTTCTCACCAGTATGAAATCTCTGATGCACAGTGAGTTGATAGGCACTAAAATAATTCTTCCCACATTCATTACATTCAAAGTGTTTTTCAGCTGTATGAGTTCTCTCATGCTGTACAAGTTTTGAGCCATGACTACATGCCTTCCCACATTCCTTACAAACATAGGGTTTTTCTCTACTGTGAATTCTTTGATGTGAAGTAAGAGATTTACTTTTTCTGTAAGTTGGCATTTTTTCATAGCTGATTACCATCTGGCTGAAGCATCCCTCTTCATGTCCCTGTAGTCCCTCAAATTTGTTTTTGTGTTTCCAATTATTTCTGAAAAGGGATTCCTCAAGGCCAAGGGTTTTACTTTTTTCCTTTATATCCCACTGAGAAAAATTTATGTCAAAAACATCCTTTTCTGAAAATAATTTTTTGGTCTCATATGTTGTTGACTCCCAATCTGAAAGAAAACAAGAAAACACAATTACCTTCACTAGAAAAAAACCCTCTATAGTAGATAAAAAACAAACTGAAAATAATTCCTATTGGAATTGAGTTAGACTAGGATATGTACTGAACTCACTCCTGAGCATTAAGGCTCTCCCCTGTTAAACAATAAATTCAGCCTTGGTTTTTCATCTCTTATGATCTTAATGTACTGTTTTGATAATTTTCCAGATTCCACAGAGATCACTTTGATTAGTCCTCATTTCCCATGCAGATGGTTCCTTAAACCAAATGCCAGTTTCCATCGATCAAACCCTTATGTGCATCCAATGTCCCCGATGGGTATGTCTCTTAGTGGAAATTGAATTCTCACTATAATGAGCTTTAGCTGATTTTGTTTTTCCTAATCCATGCTTTCTAAGTTTTCACTGATGTTCTAAGTTTTGCTTTACTTCTAACCAAAAGTCCACTGAAAAACTTGAATTTTTTTTTTTTGAAAGAGTCTCACTTTCTTGCCCCCAGTAGAGTGCTATGGCATTATAGCTCATAGCAATCTCAAACCCTTGGGGTCATGTGATCCTCTTGCCTCAGCCTCCCCAGTAGATGGGACTACAGGTGCTCGCCACAACAGCTGGCTGTTTTTTAGAGATGGAGTCTCGCACTTGCTCAGACTGATCTCAAATTTGTGAGCTCAAGTGCGTGATCTCAACTTGTGATCCACCCGCTTTGGCCTCCCAGAGTGCTGGGATTATAGGCGTGACCTATCACCCCACCCCTTGAATTTAACTTCAGAGTTTGTCGTCTGAACTTTCAACCTTTATATACTATTTGTTTGGTTATTTGTGACTTGTATGGGAGATAAGGAATGATCTCTACCCACTAATTGGCTTATGTGCAGACAGGGTCATGGAGCCCCACATAAAATCTTTACTTGTCATATGTCACTGATGGTGGGTTTGTATGTCTATATTTTTATAACAAATTCAACATGTAACCTGTGGTTGAAGACATGCCCCACTCCAAAGCAAGATAACAAACTAGTGATTACCAGACTGATAGCATAGTTAGCTACAGGTGTAGCCTGACTACACCACTGACAAAATATTCTTCACACTCTTTACATCACTGTTAAGTATCTCTTCCAGGTATAGAAACAATTCCTTCTGTGTATGATCTGCCTTAAATTAAAGATCTACAAACATGAAACAATGAACAATTTGCTCTTCAGGAAATTCAGTCTCCTATACATATACATGTATTCACTATTACCCTAATTCCTAGGCTTATCTGGCAAAAACTGATAACATTGCTATTATTTAAAACTCCATTTTCTTGGCTCGGCGCCTATAGCTCAACCGGCTAAGGCGCCAACCACGTACACCTAAGGTGGCGGGTTCGAATC